TGTTTCAGTTGTAAGCTCTTGAGGGCAGAGACTTCATTCTTCTGTTGCAAAGTCTGTGTCTAGATGGCTGCTGTGATAACAATGTGGCTTTTCTTACTTTTTGTGGGAAAGATGGTTGAGCTTTGGTGTGATGGTCAACTGGTTTCTCTGCCTCTTGGTGGCTCCATAGGTCTCTCTGGGCTGAAGTCAGTGAAGGACCTAAGAGGGTTTGAAGGGATTTATTTGACCCTGTATGCTGCTCCTTTTACTTGCCTGTGGAAATGTGTCATTAATAACTAATCGTGCATAATAGGATGCCCTACTGTTATTTTTAACGTTGCCATTAAGTCACACCTTTTCTTTGGTCTTACTCAAGTGTGATTTGAAGGTAACAAGCATGGACCGTCCTATGAATGTGCCAGCCACTTGCAAATGATGTGACATTGCTGATTTTCGTTAAAGTTCTGACTGGGAAACTCACTCATAATGCACAAGTCTTGTGGGAAATGCAAGTCACTTCCAAGTACTTGCCTGGTTTCCCATCGAGACCCTCTGAATTTTGTGTGAGCAGTATCCTTCAGCAAGGAGTCCTTCAAGCCATTGGCTTCGTTTGATGGCACCTGTATCTTGTACTGGAAGAGATGGTGAATATTCAGTCCCTCTTTGTGTTCTCCCAGCTACTGGCGAGTTATGCAGAGCTTTGTCCTATCTGCCTTCCATCATCTCTTTCCTAGGCTGGACGGTTTACCTCTTCTGGCTGCAATAACTGGAGCCTCAGGGCTGGCTGCTTGTTCCTATCCCTGCCCTTGTGCTGGCTAAGCAGGCGTGGGCAGAACAGGCTGGGAACTTCAGATGGGTGCCGTTTGGAGCACTAACTTAACCATTTGTTGTCACCAAAAAAAGTACATCCTACCACCTGCCCCATATCCCCAGATCTTCCCTAGTGCTCCCGCCACTCTTCTTTGCGGTGGTCTGGTATGTGTTTAGCTGACTGAGCTTGCAGAGTCACTGAAAACTGACCCAGCCAGAAGGAGTGAATAGCTTCTCGCTGGGCAAGGGAGTTGATTGAGCTTGTGGAATGATCCAGCAAAGCTGAAGAGCTGGCTTGGACTGTGCAGCAGAGAGATGAGAGGTTGGGTACCACAGGACCTCTTCTTGTTGGCATCATGCTATTGAGTCCATTCAGCCATGCTGTGCAACATCGCTGCAACACTTCTCACGTGGCTGTTTTAATCCAGGCTCCTCGTGACATTGAGCAAATGCTTGTTCAGGCAGGAGGTGGGCCTGCGAGGAGCTGGAAGGGAGGCAGAAGACTGCAAGAGCAGGAATGACTCCTGTTCCCGTATTTTTTCCAAATGCTTACTAAATGGTAAAAGATCACCAGCTTCCTCCCCTCTGGGACAGACCTACCTTGTTCCTAGTTGTGGAGCTTTTTTACTACGGACATGGCTGTAAAATGTGAGCTTTGAAGAGCCTGTTCTTGGGAAGTCATCTGTGTTACTTGTACCTGGTGCAGATAGTGCACAGAACATAAATTCACATCATTCTGCTTGTTAGGTAGTACAGGATTTGTTTACTGTGCCTTCCTCTTCCCATTTTTGGGGCTATTTTGAAAGCTTCGCTGTAACATATCCCAAAACTTGGCTGCTTTTGCCAAGGCCCACTGTGAATGATGGAGTATGGATGAATACTTATTATAAAATTTGCTTTGATGTATTGCATGTCTTTAACCAAAGGCACATGGGGAATTTGTTTTGGACAATGAATTTAAATTCTGTTGGGATTGATATTGTATCTTTTTAAAGAGGGCAGATTTACCCAGAAACGAAACTGTAAACTCCCATATTTTCCCAGAGAGCTCCTGTTGCTTTAATAATCTAGTTATCTGGGAATCTCTTTAAGTATCAAAGGGCCAATTATGTGCTGCCTGGAGAGGACCAGGGAGAGCTGTTTTTGTACTAGAATTAATAGATACAGGCTGGTCACAGCAGGTCTGATGTCCTCCCTAGCTCACCGCTGTAAATTTGCGGGGCAGAGATAGTAATCATTTATTTTCATCTCGCGTCTCCTCTTTGCTCAGCAGGAGTAACTCCTAACAGGACTGCATGGTTTCTTCTGATATTTAGACAAGATATTAAAGACGACTTTAAATGAAAAACCTTAGAAAAACTCATCAAGAATGGCTTGTAATGGCTTGTGACAAGGCAGGGTGAGGAATGTCTCATGAAGGAGGTAGAAGTCTTCTGTTAGCTTGATGGTTTAGGAAAAGAAGTGTCTTATTTTCTGACCTTCAAATAAAAAAAAAAAAAGGAAAAAGAACATTCCCCCCTCCTCAAAACAACAGGCTTCATCCTGGATTAAATAGCTGTTTTTGTGGCCTGAGTATAAATTTCATCAAGACTGGGTCTTGCTTATCTCTGCAGGGGCAGCTCTCTCAAACAGGATACTCTTACAGTTTTTGGGTCTTTTTTTTTTTTTTTTTTTAAAGGAAAAATCATCAGGACAAGTCAGGGGTCCTGTGTGAAACCAGTGTTTTTGTGGAGATGAGCAGATGATCTGTGCTTAATTATTTGTAAAGGCTGCCAGCAGATAGCTTATTTTTAAAGGAAGGTTTTTATTATAGTATCTTTGCTTGCTTCAGACCTTCTCACAAAACTCATTTGCTTTTTCATGGTGGTTTGCTTCTTGATTCCAGTATTGTATCTCAAAGATGAATGCTGTGTTATGTCGCTTTTTCGTTCCTGGAGATAGGACGAGAGGTTTTGGAGATAGACTTGGCTTTTGGAGCTACGACCGGCCTAACCATCTCTGGCATTTCAGGTCATGGTCAGTACTTTCCGATGGGGACTGCTTTAACACCTGAGACTCAAACGTTGAAATATATCTACATCTGTTTTCTCTATAGGATCATTCAGTTCAGAGTAATTGCCAAAGTAGCTACTTTATGCACTGATCCTGTCGCTGGCAGGTTTTGTTCCCATGGCTTAGTTATCTAGCAGGTACAGAGCCTGGTTTATGTTTATTCAGGCTGAAACTGCACTAAAAATTTGTGTTGCTTTTGCAAAGCAAGTTGGTAGGAGCCGATTTTGATTACAGCGTTGTTGGCACGCTTGTGGTGAGTCTTCTGTCACATAAGCATGCTTTTGCTGACCCGATGCAGCCTGCTTGGCCTGGAAGAGTGCTTTCCTCGCCTGCAAAGAGAGCACATACGCTGTGTAAGGGGAGTTTGCTATTTTAACCATACTGGCAGGCTTTTTCTTGTAGTCCTGTGTGCTGTGTCTGTAATACCTTAAAATGGCTGCTATTTAAACAGCCTCTTTTCCCAAATCTTTAAAGCTGAGGGTAGAATGGCTTGGCTGCTGAATTTTTGTGTCTGTAATGCTGCCTGAGTGTTTTTGCAATGTGGCTGCACACAGCAGCAGGCTGAGAGGGCCAGGCTTGGCTTTCCGTCCCGATGCACAATCTGCACAGCTGTGTGTGTCCTCTTCCTTCTGAACCCTTGTGGAGGGCTTTGGTTGTGGGACATGGGTTGGCTGGGTGGACTACCAGGAAGGGGGTCGTGTGCTTCAGTGTCTCATGTCCTTTCACAGACTTGGAGGTAACAGATCCTCGTCTCTAGGTCTAGAACTTGAACTCCCAAATGCCAAGACTGTTTAGGCTACTGCTATTCCCCTCCGTTTGCTCTCATCTCTGTGATAATTTGCTTTCCCTTGCTGGTGAGGGTGCTGACCCTCCAGCTTTCCTAGTGCATCTGATGTCCCCCTCCCAGTGCTCCAGTCCATCCAGCTTTTCCCTTTGCAATGTGTTTCTTGGTTTGGTAGACTTGAACTGCTCCTTGCATGGTGCTCTTCTGACCTGTACAACCATCCCAAGCTCTTGAGATGCTGTCAGAAGGAAAGGCTTCCCACTACAGTCCCCAGCTCTCTGCCTTCTCACATACAGCGATGTGTAATGACCTGTACAGACCGGTGACTTCGTGCAGCAGCACTGTGGTTTCCCAAGCCCTGGTTTGGGAACCATGGGTACAGAAAGGTTAGTCAGGCTAACCTGCGTGCCCGAGCTGCCTAGGCGGAGGCTACTCCCAGTAGCATTAAGGGTCTGTGCAGAAGAGTTGCAGCCTGAAAGGTCAGCGAGGTTCAGAGGCAGCATGTGAAGGCTGTTGCTTAGGACCCAGGGTACCGGTGAAATTGGGGTACAGGGTTTGAGAAACTTCAGTGTTTCCAGCAAGTAGTGGTTTCTGGCTTTGCTTATGAAGATGGGCAGGTATTGCTTTTGCTTCAATAAAGTTAAGTTCAGCTCTTGAAGGCTAAATATGCAATTTCATTTGAATGGTTTAATTTAATGTAGGAATTAACTTGGTATTTCATGCATGAAATATTTCATGTATTTAATAACATGTCCTTATTTTGGCATGAGATTCTACTGACTGATTCAATTCCTCTACTACATGCTACGATTAGGGGGGTCATCTCTTACTAAAACTGGGCACATGGGTGTGTAGGGGAGAAGAATTGGATGAATCCAGTGTGCTGTTGACATTTTGGCCTAGTTTTTATATGTACCATGGCATAGTGTTTTTTGTGGGCCTCCCCTCCAGCTGCACAGCTCAGATTTTTCAGAGGGACTGATTTTTCTATGAGTGCTAGTCATTATGTTGTAAAAAAAAATTTCACGTTGCACTTCTGCAGATCATAGAATCATAGAATCATTAAGGTTGGAAAAGACCCTTAAGATCATCGAGTCCAACCGTTAACCTAGCACTGCCAAGTCCACCACTAAACCATGTCCTCGAGCACCACGTCTGCCCTTCTTTTAAATACCTCCAGGGATGGGGACTCAACCACTTCCCTGGGCAGCCTGTTCCAATGCCTGACTACCCTTTCGGTGAAGAAGTTTTTCCTAATATCCAACCTAAACTTCCACTGTTACCAGATACCACGAGGCACTTTGTAAAGAATCTAATAATTTCCATAAAGAGTGAAAAGACAAATGTTTCTGACTGAACTTTCTGCTTTCTCTAGCTTCCTGGTCGCAATTTTAAGAAAGGCTACAACGCTGATGTTGGTGACAAGTGGATCTGGCTGAAATGAGGTTTGCCTCCCTTTGGAGCCCTAACTGCGATGGACCACAGAACTTGAGTGAAGAAGAAGCCGAGTTCAGTGTGCCTGCTCCGCATCAATTGTGTAGCACGAAGAAAATGCTGGTTTAAATCATCTTCCAGCTACAGCATAAGAGAATAGACTCCTAGAAGGGAAATCACTTTATTCTGGTTTGTTCTTCCCTGATGAATTCAGGGTGCTTTGTCTTTGGATGTTTGATAGTCAATGTGTGATAGCAAAGTGATCTGGTATTACAGGGGCAGGCTTAAGATCAATGCTGAACTTTCTCTTCCAAGACTGTGGCATATTATTACACAAAATTATTGTTGTTTTGCTGAATCAAGAGAAATTAAACCTGTATCCTCTTGGCTCTCACAAAGTTAATTTCTTGCTCTGTCATGCATGGTGTTTTATGAGTTTCATTAGAAGAGTGTACATGCTAAAAAAACCACACTTGCATCATGTTTTGAAAGCCTCTTACTGGACATCAGCATCAAAGCAGGCAGGCAGAAAAAAGTTCATTGAGAGAAGGAAATAAGTGTTGATCTCAATTTAAACAGCAAAATATCTGTGCTTAAAAGTATAAAAAAATATTCAAAATAATTGCTGGCAGTTGTACTCATAGTTTCTTCCTTTGAATGGGCGCTATAGATCAAAATGTTTGTCGGGTATAAAAGACAAACCTAATTATTATTTTTGCAAGTCTCTGAAAGTCCAAGTTGGAGTTCTTTTTAAAGAAATGATACATTTGGTATTAGTTAGTCACACAAATGAGGCACGTTGGCATTGGTTCAAGCAATGCTGTCCAGATTTAGTCTGCAATAATTCTGCATTTCCAGCAAGGGGCTAACTAGTTCAATCACTGAGTAAAAGTGCTGCCAGGCATTCCAGTATTCAGGGCAATGCCTTTGAATTATGCAGCCAAGTCTTGCCCATGCCCCTTCCCGTATCAAAACTAGGATGAAAAGACTCCTTTAACAAGAGCCTTGGGGGCCTGGTTAGATACTGAAATAAATGAGCAGTGGGATAGAAATGTGGCTCTTCTCACTGATCTCTTAGCTCTTTGTTTCCATGTTTTATGACTTTATAGAGTTTCACCTCTGGTTGCAAAAGGACTAACTGCTTTGCTGCCACTGTGCCACCCTGCGCTAATGCAGCTGGTGGTTCGCAACGATGAGCAAGTGCTGGGGTGCAAGCCAGCAGTGTGCCTTGGACTTGTATGAGAATGCAGCAGAACTGGTGTAGTCAGTCCTGTAAGGCTGAGCATTTTATTGAACTGTTGCAAGATCTTTGTGCGTTTTCACCTTCCAGAGGCTGGATATCAGGGCACTGGACCTATGTGTGTTGCAGCTCAGCAGTGTGCTTCCTTATCCCATGCCTCCCCCGGGAAGGTGTATCTTAGTGCTCTCATGCCTGAGGACCTGCCAGCCTGAGCCACTGTTGTCTCCTATGCAGTGAGATCCTGAGCAATTGATGTTAGCTTCTCTTTACCTGTCTGGAGTGCCATCTTGCAGCAGTCCGTAATGTGTGTGGAGATGAAAAGAACATCTGCTATGGCTTTAGGTTCCCTTTGGAGTAGTCCAGATCTGGTTTTACAGGTGTCCTTCATCTCCGTATTGCTGCATTCTCCAGGTGCTGTAATTCACTTGGCAATGTGCATGCAACCTGGTGTCGGATCTCCTAGACAGGCATTTTGTGCTGTGAGTAGTGCTGGTGAAGCTGTTGTGTTCAGCTTTGCCATAGTGGGACACACGGGGCGCAGAACATTTCTAGGAGGCTTCACTGCCTGCTCCGGCAGCACACTGAGAGCTGAGCTGAGCTTTGGATGTAAAGGAGTTTAATTCCAGTCAGGAAAAGCAGTGTTGGCTTGTATGGCAAGCAGTGTGGTATGACAAAATGCATGTTAAGCATACTTTATTATCCTGGTTTTAACTCTGCTTTAAAAGTAAAACTGTTTATAAACTAAATCTGTGAAGGAAATGACTTTCCTTCCCCTTGCTGTAGGAAGGAGCGTTAGCTGTATTTTTCTCTTCCCTACTTCCCACTCCAACACCTCAAAAAAACATCTCTTAGCAAACCAGCTGTAAAGTTTTTGGCTTTTGAAGACTAGCCATGCCAGCTGGATGAATTTATCTCCAGTTCTTTATTAGATTGGAAAAGGTAAAATGGCTCAAGTCCTCTCCATGCTTCTGTGTAGGTGCGCATGTGATATTATCTGCAGTCTGTCCTCTTACCCTGAGTTCCCATTGCCTATGTTAATGCATAGGGAAGCTTGCCTCTTGCCTGTCATGTCCTATGCTTGATTCTGCCTGCTTTACAAAGGCAGATTCCCTGGGAATGGTGGTGTTATGCTTAGAGCCATCGGCTGTGTTTTATGGGCAGAACCACCGGCTTTCCTGATGGCTGCAGTTGGTCAGTCCAGTAGTCCAGCGACTATCTCCCCCCCTTGGGTTCACTTTTCAGTTGCACAAGAGGGGTGAAAGGAAAGAAGAGGTGGGTGGGAATGGGTCCTGCCACCAAAATGAAGGCTTGACACGCTGCAGCCTCAGATGAGGTTTTGAAGATTGCCTCTCAGCCTCAGGAACCTGTGATTTCATGCCAACACCTGTCCCACTCTAAAAACTCTGCTTACCGTATTTCAGATTTGGTCTCTCAACCATCCCCCTCTAGCCTTTGCTGTGGTTGACGGGTGAGCGTTTGTGCTTTCCCAATGTGTCCATTAATAGCTTCCTCGTCAGCTGGGGGACAGCTGAAACTGGGGTGTGACGAGATCAGCGTCTCTGCACGTGTCTGAGCCTCCTCGTGCTTTGCACTTCAGCTTGAGGTATTGACTCCTCACCTGCCCCTACCCGCCTTGTGCTCTTCAGCAGTGACATTTGGCCCAGGGCTGCAATTAAGAAATCCAGTGAGTTTCTTCTTCCCCTTCCTCCTTCAAGGTGTAACTTTCATGTTTTAATAACGGTGAGTTTTGGATGTTAACAATGCTACTCCAGTTCTGTGAAAGGAAAGAGCTGCTGCAGTGCAAGAGAAGGATGTGTATTGCTGTGCCCCCAACCCACAGGCAAAGATTGAAATGAATCCCTTCTGTGGAAGAGCTCGCTGAGCAATTGTAATTTAGGTGCACAACAAATTCCAGCTGACTTCGAATGCTGTTTACAAAAGACTGGGCAAAATGAATCATTTGTGCAAAAGTTAATGGAAACAACCAGAGCAGAGAGGAGGTGGGATGGCACATCGTAACCTGACAGGTTGCTCTCTGGAAATATGCCTGCTCAGGTTTAGTGTGAGCTGAGCATTTATGGAGAACCTCAAAAGCCATCTGCATTAAAGGAGACCTTGGAGGAAAAGGAGGTCCAAAGGTCAATGCAAAGGTTTGACTCTTCCTTATGTTCCTGTCCTGTTGACTTGCATGTGATCTTGGGCAAGCTTCTCGGAGGTGCATGGCCCTGGGAGCTCCCATCCATGTTGGTCAAAACTGAGCCCATCTGACAGTGTTGCTTCCCATGACCCTGCTTAGCTTGTATGCAAAATGAGTGTTTTAAAAACACTGATTGCAAGATGGGATAGGCATTCAAAATTGTGTTCTCTGATGCTTTCCTCGGGGCCCAAGGGAGGTAGGGTCTAGGTTTCCCTGGCAGAAAGGCGCAGCTCTGTGGTCCCAGCTTGTCTTTCTGCCACACTGGTGAGAAGGTGCCATGTCTCAGTCTTGCTGCAGTGATGCTCAAAGCCTTGGCCACCCAGGAGACTGCTTTGCTCCAGTTTTGGTGTTGGAGATATCTATCACCCTAGAGAAAGGAGCTCATGCTAGAGAGCTTTCCTGAGAAAGGGAAACTATTTCCCCTTGTAGTCACTCAGTGAGAAGCACTTAATTTGCTTTTAATCCTGATAAGAGGGCAGCATTCTTTACATAGCTGCTGCTGAGATAGCGTCATCCTGTGAGCATCGCAGGCAGCAGGACAGCATGAAACTTGCAGGTTCTGCTCTGGTTCCCAGCTTTAAGTCTTTATTTGCCAAATACATGTTCACAGCGAGATCAAAACAAGCATGTTGCCTATTGGTGCTGTGTAATTCCTCTGCAGGTGCTGGAGCCCAGCCTAGCTGCTTCTATCTGATGGGACCACTCCTGACTATTTGATTCCTGCTTTTGTTCTCCACCCTCCCAAACAAAAACTCCAGGTACAAATGATACCTAGATCTTGCATGCTTGAGAAAACTTTGTCTCAGTTAGCTTACTGGGTACCAAGCGTCTTCAAAGATAGCTGGGCATGGAAATCTGTGGCAGCTGCTGTGGTTCCCTCCGGGCGAGGCAGACACCACACCTCATTCCTCCACCTGCTCGTGGATCAGCAGTTCATGGAGCATGGCCTGGAGACACAATCCCAGACAGTGGTGCTGCATGGGGGATAAAGACTGCATCCGCTGGTTGGCATGTGGGCTGCTGCACCTACAGGAGAGCCCTCCCAGCCCTCAGCTGTGTCTCTGCACACAGGCGTAAGGCAGAGACACGTGAGCATGCAGCCACGGAAGGATCGCTGGTGAATCTGGCTGGGCGTGGGGTCACAGGCACGCTAAATGGGAGTGTGCTTCTCCCAACTACGGGACAAAAGTTGTGACAGAACAAGGGTTTTGGTTTCTTTGGGTTCCTTATCTTGTTGCTGCGGGTGTCCTCTTCTCAGTGCTTGTGGGGAACCAGCTCTTCTGGGGGACAGGGTTGTGCTGCATTATGGTGCCAGAATAGCACAGCAATGCCACTCTGCATTTCAAGAAATGTGATGTAAGCATGATTTATTGAGCCACCGATGTGCAGGGTTGCTCTTTTCTGGGTCCTCTTCTTGCTTACAAGAAGGCCGGTCCAGATTGCTACTTTGTGTGGAAGCTTATTTCCTTTTTGGGAATCAAATTCTTACACATAAAGTTCACAGTAGAGTTTCTGTTGTATAAAGGGAGTTGATGCATGCAAAAAAATGCACAAAACAGTGCTAAGATAAAGTAGGCATGACCTGTCCAGCCCTGGCATGGCCCACATCAGCCCCCAGGCTGTGCCCACTTGCTGGTCCCTGCCATAGTCTCTGGGTGTTTTGGGAGGCAAGGTTGATTTTTGTCATCCCGTAAGAGGTAAGGGTGTTCAGAAATTGGTGGAGCCACCGCTGAGCAGGGTGGGATTTGCCATTGTGACAGAGACACCATTTGCTGCTTTTGGGTTCTGGCTTCTGCCTGCTTACAGGGGAGACCCAAGCCACTGAAGGGGGAAGAAAGAATGAACTTGACGAAATACTTTGCCGCTTTTATCTTTGTCGGATGCAGGTAAAACTCAGCCTCCTGTTGTCCTCAGCGGCCAACACAGGAGCGTGAAGGCTTTGCCTTCCTAGAAGCCCTGGCTGCTGCAGAAGCTGTTTCCTACTCCTGGAATAAAGTCCTGGTCCTGGTTGCAACACTTAAAGCCATAGCTATTCAGCTGATCTGTTTTCCTTTTAG